ACTCTCATTTTTAAGGATGTCAGTCACACAGGTACACTCTCATTTTTAAGGATGTCAGTCACACAGGTACACTCTCATTTTAATGATCTCGCCTGGACTTGATTGCCTCTTTAAAAGGCCTATCTCCAAATAAGGTCACCCTCAGAGGTACTGTACCTGAAGACTGCATGTGAGGTGACAAAGTTAGCCAATAATGACGTCATCTAAAGGGCATTTCCCCAAACTTATGCACAGTGGTGCCAAAAGCAGGTTTTGGACTTAGTAACTACACAAAACCACTCCCATATATGAATCCTGTGCTGGCCTCAGCGTTCACATGCATGAATTCATTGAATCCTCAGTTTTCAAGATGAGAAAACCAAGGCAGAGAGACATCAGTAACTTCTACAATGTCACACACTAGGGAGCAGGAGCGGCTATTCAACCCCAGGCAGTCTGGCTTCAGAGCCTGTGAGGTTTTGGGGGGTGTGAGGTGGGTTGGGGGTACCAGGCACTGAACCCTGTAGCACTTAACCACGGAGCCACATCCCGAGCCCTTTTGTATTTTTTATTTTGATTCAGGGTCTCGCTACACTGCAGAGCCTGTTGGTACTGTGCTTTACACTGCATACCCAAGCTGTTCCGCTGAATGGGGCACTAGGTAGATCATAAGTGGAAATTTTAGAGACCTAGAAATAATCCATTTAAAGAGGAAAGACAAGTTTGCATTGAAGGTAAATATGATTTTCACAGTGATTTAATTGGAATCATTTAACAGGAATTATGACCAAAGACCTAGCCCTCTCCACTAGGGCATTGAAGGAAATCTGGAACACTTACGTCCCTCGCTCTAATTAATAATCTCATTATGCTGTTCAGGGTGGTAACCACTGACCTGGTTATTACGCCTGACGCTTTGCAAATTCAGCCCCATGATGCTTGAGATAGTTCCCTGGCAAGATCACCAAGAAGAGTGAAGAAAAGTTGTTGCTTCTGGGTGGCAGAGAAGAGAAGTTAGAAGAAGCCTGCAAAACAGGGGAGCTGGTCGCCGTGAGGAAAGGAAGTTCATCAGAATCGTGGTGAGTAGAATCTCCTGCCAATCACGGTGCAGACCCAGGGGCTGTCTTGCCGCCCGAATGCAGGGTCATCTCTGGGTGGAATATGCAAAGCTGGAGGCCTGTCTTGCTCAAGTCTAGTTGTGCGGGGTTCTTTTCCATCCGTGGTTTATGGATAATTAGAGTAGTAGATGCTGGGGTCACAGAGTAGCAGGCCTCAGCTGGATCAAGCATAGACAGTTGACGTGGTAAAGAAGCACGCCCTTCCTCTGAATTTAACTTCTAAAAACTTCAATAGCTATGGAAATGAACCAGAGGATCCAAGCCGCTTCTTCAAAATAACTTGGTTTTCCTGGTAGAATCTCAAAGAGCAGCCACTTTGGAAGGGTCTCAGAGCCCCCATAGAAACTGTAGTGGACCCAATTGTAGTTCCTGGGAGGATGTGTTCAGGTCCTAACCTCTGATGCCTTGGGGTGGGAGGGCTTTTTGGTTTTTTGGAAATGGGGTTTTTGGAGAAATAATTAAGATGTAATTAAATGGGGTTTTTGAAGTTGAATCACCTAAAATTCAATGACAAGTCCTTAGAAGACAGGAGGGAGGGAGACAGAGAGTCATAGGGAGAAAGGCCATGTGAAAATTGGGCAGAAATTGGACCAATGCCAATGAATGCCAGAGCCCACTGAGGCTGGCGGGGGGTGGTCAAGGAAGGATTCTCTCTGAGAGCCTTCAGATGGGGTGCAGCCCTGCAGAAACCTTAATAGAACCAGAGAGGATACATGTCTATTGCTTAAGCCACCTGGTTTGTGCTAACGTGTCATGGCAGCCCTTGGAAACTAATTCAGTAACTTTGGAAAATGAATGTAACTTTGGTGTTGTGTGCAAAGTCACCAGAACTCATGGAAGATCAATGCGATGGGGTGAGGCTCCCTCAGTCACTGCACCAAACACAGGCACTGAGGCACATCATTATGCACATGTATTCTTTCTCTGTCCACCTGTGTCTGTCTTTCTCTCTCACACACACACCATAATAAACCAGCTGTTTACTTAAACCATAAAGCAGTATGGTCAGAATCACTTAAGTTTCCTGCATGAGTTAACCTCTTGACCTCAATATTGTTTTAGCTCCAGCTGGGTTAGGTGTGGTGTCTTTTTAGATACTACACTTTAGGGACTGTGGTATGAATAAATGCATACTCAGGGAAAGCACATTAAGATGTAAGTTTAGGCAAGTTACTAACTTGCATAAGGACTTCTACTTATGAAAAAAATGACATCCTACAGATTGAATCTTAGTTTGGACGTCTCTGGAATAGAGGCAATGGTATTAATAAATTCATCTTCAAAATTTTTGTGAAGATTTATGATTATGAGACAACCAGCCCAGGACTGAGACATAGGAAGGCCTCTGTAAATAGCTGTTATAATTATTTTCAAATATTTCATTGTCTTCGTGAGAATAAACCAAAACCATCAAAAATTGTGTAAGCAGAAAAACAGCAACTACTTCAAGTATTTAAAACACATAAATTAAAAAAAATATTAAAGCATAGAATATGCACAAGGATTTCTGTTTGCAGATTGACTCTATTTGAACACCCATCTTAAGCAAGAAGGAAACCAGACAAAGTCTGTTAAGTATCGGTTTTCAGCCATTATACAACAGGCATTTCAGGACTACAATTTCTACAAAAAGGAAGTAAATTAAGTGATCCCCATGATTCCCCTAGATGACTGCCTAGAGGCAGCTTCCAGGAAGAAGAGCGACTTGGGAGAATGCAAACAGATCTCTTCAGTCTCACTGAGTTGAGCATACAGAGACTGAAGTTCAGAGGAGCCACGACAGATAGGATTTGCAGGAAAAAAGTACAGGGAAAGATGGAACAGCACAGAAACTGAATTCTGCATGGAGAGGTGCAAGTCTTTGGCTGAGTACTGATTTGAGCATGCCTGAAATGGAACTATTGTTTCACATTCTTAGGAAATTGTTGTTTCTGTGTATGGAGATAGAAATAGTAACACTAGGAGGAGAGAAAAGAAAAATTCATAAGATCAATGAGAAAACCATCATTAGTAGGCTCAACAATCTCTAGAATCTAGACAAGTCTAGAAGTAGTTCAAGTTCTCACTGGTTAGAGGATAGTTCTCACTGGTTAGAGGATTGAGACTTTGTAATATGAGTAGGGTACTCAAAGTTTAGTACTAGGACTAAATTATTCCTGGATTAAAGCATGCTCGGGGTCTAGGAGGACAAATTTGTCCTTTTTGCTTTGGGCCTTCCCAGCATTAGAATTACCAGTGCTAATTCTCAGATGCCCATCAGTTCCAATTGTAAACTCTGAGTCTCGTGTCTTGGGAACTTCCTTAGACCCA